TCTCTCTCTCTCTCTCTCTCTCTCTCTCTCTCTCTCTATATATATATATATATATATATATATATATATATATTGCACAGGTTTTAGTAGATGTCTTGTCTTAGCATCGCCACTATCTTGTCGGAGTTAGGCTAGACACTTATTGTGTACATGGGGTCGGTTGTACTCATACTACACTTCTGCTCTTCTTGTACAGATTTTGACGTTGGTACCAGTGGTGTGTCGGGAGGCACTTAGCGGATAACAGTCAGTGACTCGAGGTAAAGCTGCATCACGTTCGCATGCCTTAGAAGTCACTTTCCTATTTTATTGTATTGTTTCCATTTCATTCGAACAGAGTTGTATTTCCTTTAAACCCTTGTATTTAGCTGAATCTAGATGCTCGTGTACTTGTGACGCTAGATCTTGGAAGGGTTTATGTTATGACTTTAATCAGTTATTAGATATTCACTACTTTTCTCTTTATATTATCTGTTTACGTTGGCTTGCCTGACATTCGGTGTTAGGCATCATCACAACCCCGCGATTGGAATTTTGGATCGTTACAGAATTACCGACCCAATCAAAGACAATAGACTACTAATGATATTTGATAGTTAAAGTAATTAGGAACGTACGAGATCTTAATTATATAAGAATATGGAAAATAATTTAACAAAGCAAAGGGAGTTTGATTGTTGTTGATGGTAAGGAGGTGACAAAGATACTCCGGGTTTGAGAAAAATGGTTAAGGAATAAAGTCATGGAAATGGTTAGGTTTTTATCATAAAAAAGGTTTTTAAAGGATAACACAAAAAAATAACAATAAAATAGTAAAATTGTTGGTCAAACCAAAAGATTTTATAAGCGATAAAATTATAAGTTGGGATGACAACTTATAGCTTTATGCTGATTTTGGCTTATAAGTAATAAACATTTGATTATAAACACTTTTGATCTTACCAAATATGTAAATAAGCTGAAAAATATTTATAAGTTAATTTGACAAGCTTATAAGTTTAGCTAAAACACCATTTATATACACCATATGTGTATGTATAATATCTGTGTCTAAACGCCTTTCAGAATTAAATTCAACATTTTAGTTATCATAGCATGAGACGTTACACAAAAAAAATCTTATCAGCAGTTTCCAAAACGTTTTCCATTTAAAATCATTGCGGGATATCCTTTTTTAAATCTTTTTTTACTTTTCTTTTGAGGGTAACGAATTTGGTGGGCACAGATGCGCGCCGCCTCAGCCTTTGAAATCTTGTGGTCGCACACACACCATTGTCTCTCTTTCATTCTTTGCTCAACCCCACCACCTCCTCCACCAACCCACCAAACCGGTAAGCGAAAAAACAAAAAATAAACAAAAACAAGTTATTGCTGCGGCACCATCAACATCCCAACCATAGGTATTACTTTTCCACCAAACGTTTTTGGATCTGTTAAGTCTATTGCATATCTCTGTGAGATCTACTTCTTGGGTTGATGCTGTGTATTTCAGTTGTATGCCTATGTGTGCATGTAAGTAAAAACCTCATTGTTTGGTTGATATTAACCTTTCTATGAAAAGAGTGTGTTCAGTAATGCTTCTTTTTGTCTATGTTGGGCTTAATGTGTTGTTTTTCTTATGCCTGGGAGCTTTAGTTATAGAAGATATTTGTGAACATGTAATTCATTAAATGGCTGAATCAGTTACTATTGAATTTTGCAACAGCTAGAGAAACGAAGTTGAAAAATTCTGCAGAGCTTTTTACTTTTTAGGAAAATAAAAGAAAAATGAATCAACTTTTGGCTGCTCTCTTCTTTTGAAGAGGTGGTCAAAATTGTAGACAGTTTAGAACTTAAGAGTGGAGGTTTACACAAGATCGTTTCGTTCACTTGCTATAGCAGAATTGGGAGACTGAAAGTTATTTGGTAGTTTGCCTTTAGGGGGCAGTGGGGGATGCATTTTCAAGGGAGCAAGGGGAAAAAAAATATATTTTTGGTTTATGTTGCCAAGGAAATTTGAACTTTGACTTAGTCATCAACCCTTTCTAACACACTGTTTATTTATCACTTGCGAAGTGACCGATTTAGGATTTTAGACATCTCTAACTGCCACATTTTATTTTTTGCAGAGGGATTTGATTGGTGAACCTGCGATTTAGTTCTACAAGCAAAAATGAATTCTGCCATGTGCTCATCATCATCGTCATCCACGATTGCCTCTTCCTGCTGGCAGAATCTTCGAAGCAGAAAACATTATCTGTTAGCACCTGAACCTTTTGCAAGGGTTGGTGACTCAAGTATGATAGATACACTGCGAAGATATAACTGTAAGGAAGGGAAGGTTGTGATTTCAAGTCATTTGGTATCTGGACATTTGGATGCATCGCGTACAAGAAAAAAGTTGTTAAACCAGTCAGTTCCGAAGTTAGAATTTGTACGCACTCTGCTAATTGACAATTATGACAGTTACACTTACAATATATTCCAGGAGCTTTCAATTATTAATGGAAGTAAGCTCCCTATAATTCTTTGCCTTGAAGTTGAAATGAGTTTTGTACCTGTATTGGCTTGTTCATATAACTTAAATATCTACTCCTGAAAATGTGGTAGTATGTCTTTTTCTTATGCCTTCTGTATGTAGCAATCACAGTAGTTGGGAGTTTACTAGCACCTCACTTAAGGCTTTAAACAGTATTCTTTCTGGTTAATTTGTTTGAACACATTCGATGTTCTTAATGTCTCTCTGCTATAGTACATTTTAAAAAGTACCAATACTTGCTGAAATAAGTTGTACTTCTCTTAGACAAGAACTATTCTTTCTGCAGTTTTAATATGTCATGAAGTGGAAATTACTATCTTGAGCAGATCTATTTATAAATTTATTGTTGACGTTCTGCCTTGACAGACAACCCCCCCCCCCCCCCCCATAAAGACCGTATCATTAGCATTGTGCGTATGCAGAATCTAGCTATCCTCAGAGATACAGTGCTTTTTTTTCTTCTTACTCTTTTCGAAGAAAACTATCCAAGGAGTAGATCTTTTTTGTGTCGAAGGTCTTGTCCACTATCCATAGAGTTTTAGCAAATGTGACAGCAAATATTATAGTAATGTCAGCTTGAAGCTGTAGGTGGCATGTTATTTCTTCTTCTGTTCAGCAAATCAAGCAGCATTTTACATTATTCCTGCTCCTTTGAGCAGTTTGTTCCCTAATTAAATAAAGTGAAGAAATAGAAAATTTTAAAAAGGAGCCACTCGTATAATTCCCTTCATGTGAATACAATTTGTACTTATTGCATAAATAACTTTCATGTAGTAAAGGTAGGATTTGAAAAAATTTCTTCCCTTTCATACCTATAAGTTGCTAAGCCTCCCTCCGGCTATCTATGATAGGCCTCAATTTGGGTCCAGCTTGAACGTTTAGGGCCTGCCGTTTTTCTTACAACCATTGTTATCAAAGGCGCACTTAAGCCCTAAAGCGAGGCTCAAAACATATTGAGCGCTTTGCCTCGCTTAATGTCCCTTCAGTGTTGTCATCAAGGCTCTAAGGCATACTTTTCCTTCCCAATAAGTGTAATCCTGAAGAGGCGATACTAAACAATTGATATTTCACTTTATCGTAATTTCTTTTCAATTTCTTTGTCAACATATCCAACATTTATGCTTATATATATTAGTCTTGGACTACACATACATACTTGTAGTTTTTCGCTATTTGCGCCTTTCTTCTTTAAAGCCCACGCTTTATTTGCGCTTTGCGCTTAAAGCCCCAACAAACCTTAGAGCTTTTTTGCGCTTTTCGCATTTGATAACACAGCTTACAACATGGAAGAAAATGGTCACTTTTATCTTTTCAGAACTTTAAGAAAGAAAGTTCCTCATCTCTCTCCCCCCTCTCTTTTCTCTTCTGTTTTTCCCTTTTCCTTATAGAGGAAGTGAGAAAGCGTGACTTGTGACTTGTGATTCTGTTATTCATTTTTTATTGATCTATATGCTTTACACCTAAAGAGTATAATTTTTGGGAGCTATTCATGTTGAGATTATGAATGGAATTTCATTGCCTTCTTAATTGGTGAGGGCTATTTATAAGGCGTAAAACGGGAAATTTAGGATGATAAGATGAGAATAACATGAAACACTCTCACTTATAAAAAAGAAAATAAAAAATACGAATGCTTAGAAAGATGAGGGTGTGGGTTTTACTTGCACAGTAATAGTAAATATGTGCTTGTCAAATGCAGTGTTATCAAAGGCGAAAAACTCTAAAAGCACTTTAGGTCTATTAGGGATTTAAGCGCATAGTGCACTTAAAGTGTGGGATTTAGTAAAAAAAGACGCAACTATGGGAAAAAATAAAATATATATGTATTTCAAGGACAAAGTAATAAATTCATTTATAATGTTTATCTTTACAGACATACATTTGTTTTCTGATTATATTTGTTGTTTAGTGCCTCTTGATTCCCAATAAAACTCATGGGCAATGAGGCGCATGTCTTAGTGCCTTGCCTTACACTGAAGCGCAGCTTAAGTGAGGCGAAACGCCCTCCCTGAGATTTTCTGAGTTTCAGGACTTAAGCGCGCCTTAAATGAGCCTTTGACAACACTGGTCCAATGTCAAATTATCTGTAGGTGTCCAGTTTTTATTCTAGTCAGGTATTTCGATTCTCTTGTGAAAAATAAAAGAAGTAAAAAACAACTTTTTGGATTCTCAAATTAAGATTTAAGTCTCTTTTTTCCTAATATGTTTTCCTGATATGTGGATGCTTCTAGATTGTAACAAATTTGATAAATTGATGCCCGTTACCAATGTGCAGTTATTAGGACAAAGTGCACGCTAAGTGTTAGATACCTTCATCTTCTATTGTATTTTTGGCAATTTTGATTGGGTAGTCATTTGTATTAATCATCTAGGACAAAGTCATCTTTGAATAGGCAGTTTCCCAGTCTTTTTCTTAATTTTACTGGATAGACATGAGTCTGTGATGTGTCACATCTTTTAATTTTTATTTTGATACTGTGGCAGTGCCTCCGGTGGTGATTCGGAATGATGAGTGGACGTGGAAAGAAATTTATTACCACTTGTATGAAGAAAGGGCATTTGACAATATTGTGATATCACCTGGTCCTGGTTCTCCAACATGTCCAGCAGATATAGGTTTGACTTGGATTTATGAAATTTATGCCATCTACTTTCTTCTTTCCTTGTCTAAGACAACATAGATCTTCTTATTAACGTGTACTAAAATGCATTAACTTGTTAGAATCAGCACATTGGTAATTCACCCTTGCCTTAGCAATCCTGATTTTAAGTGTGTTCTACTGTTTTTTTTTTTCTTTTTAATTCATTCTAAATCATGACTTCCCAACACGGCTCCTTTATCTGTCCTAGACGAGGATAACATACAAGAGTGTGCGTAGTTTTGCTCAGTGTTAGAGGTTGATGCTATGAACTTGGAAAACTTTCAATATGTTGGTATTCTACCATACAGGAGGGTGTTGAATGTCTAATTGTCGTTTAACTTCAAATTTACTTGCTTGTTATGGTTTTTCGGAGTAGCCTTTCACGCCTTACACCTATGTTTCAGGAATTTGCCTGAGGCTCCTCCTTGAATGCATTGATATCCCTATACTAGGCGTCTGCCTTGGTCACCAGGTAATGTATCCATTTATATCTGTCTGTAATGTAATATTAATTCATTCTTTAGCATACAATTTTACATAGGATCTGTTTGAGCAAGTTTGTACCTGCAACCTTGCGTAGCCTGTCTTGCTGTTCTGTTCTCTCCTTTGCTACTTGTCAAACCTTTACCAAAATGTGATTCTGGTCGATTTTAGTGCTAAATTTCCTGTTCTTCTGTATGAGATAGAAAATTTTAAGTACTTGATAATTAATTGTTGTCAGGAAATAAATTTATGGGAGATGGTATTTCGAAAATCTTATCACCTTATGTGTTACGTGGAGAAAGCAACAGTATGTACGGAATATAGAAAGTATCTTACAAAATACAAGGATTGCCTATGGTTGCTACGTGGAGAAAGAAACACTATGTACGGAATATAGAAAGTATATTACAATACGAGGATTGGCTATGGTTGCATAATATTTTTTAGACAGAACACGTAGGTGGTCCCCTAAACTTGCCATTTTTTCTCTTGTTTTGACGCCTGAACTAAAGGTATTACCTATTGAACATTTGAAGTGAAGACAAATTGTGTCAATTAGACACACATTTGACAGTTCCAAACTAACGTAGGTGCATGAAAACTACTCACTTTAATGTGGCAAACAACACCAATAAGAAAAACACATGTAAACCAAAAAGAGAGAGACACATGTGAAAATAAAGTCTATATCTGCAAAAGAAAAAAGGCAAAAAAAAGAAGAGGTGGCTGAAAGGAAGAGAAGTTGGTGGAGGAGGGCGGTGGCCGAATTTGAGAAAGAGATGGTGGTGGTGTTCGGTCCCTCCAGCATGAGCATGAGCCACGAAGCACCATCAGTAATAGAGAGCTGCCAGGGTGGATTCCCGACCAATGCGGCTCCAATCGAAATTCTTAACACAACAGATCAACCTAATCAACCCACCAACCCCTTCCATGGAATTATGTAGAGTTGCGTTTCAGTACTCTAGTGTAGATTCACGCATAGGTTATTGATCTTAAATTTGAGTAGGTGGAATTCAATTATTTTCTGTTAACACTTTAAGAAATGGAAAATAGGATGAGAGTTGAAGAGGTGAAAACCAGAAAAAGGAAAAAAGAAAGAAAAAAAATCAGATGGCCAAAATGAGCAGTGTCTCAGAAGCAGCTTTCAATAGTTACACGAAGTTCTATTAAAAGTTTCATGACTTATATCTTAAAATTTTAAAACATATAGAGAGATTTGGTAAGGTCCTGGAGAGTGAGTGTTGAGCAGCGTGAAGCCTTTTCTGTCTGGATCTGAGGTGGCTGGATTTAAGGAGGGACAAGAGGTGGTGGGTTGTGCAGTGGCGCGGCGGTGGTGGAATTTTGGGGGAAGGGGTGTTTGTTTGTGGTGGTTTGCACGGTGGTGGAGGAGGCATGGTGGTGGTGGTGGTGGTGAAGCAGCAGCTATAGTGGTGGAGATGGTGGCGGCAGGTTACCGAGGAGATTGCAGAAAAGACATTGAAAAAAAATAATTATTCTCATGCGTTCAAAAGTGGTGTATTACACTGATGGTGCCACGTCAGCGGTGTGTGTCTAGTTGACACAATTTATCTTCACTTCAAGTGTTCAATAGGTACTACCCTTAGTTTAGGTGTCAAAATGAAAAAAAATGGCAAGTTTAGGGGGCCTATCTATTCTGCCTATATTTTATGTCATTACACTATATTCAATTGATCTTCAAATATCCTGCTTCTTTCCTTTTATTCCAAATTTCTTCACCAACTGGCTAATAGTGTTGTCTATAACTTTAAGGTGGTTATTGATAGCTAAAGGCCTAACAACGTGATATTAGTTATGGTGGCAATTGCAGCATGTTGTCAGCTAGATATTATTATTGACATGTCACATGTGATAATGGTGTTTTTTCTGCAAAAGATACATTTTAAAGTAATATATTGCCAAAAACATGTTATCTGCTCCTTCACTTCTTCGACTGGTGGGTGTACAAAATAAGGTACTCTTTTGCACCGTTTTGCTTATGTGTGATTAAATGATGTAGGACATCTTGCTTTCAAATTCATTTCAGAGCAGTTTCATTGAAATTTCTGCGAATATATTTTGCTTGCATATCTATGTTAATTCTCTTCAGTTTACCAAGCTAGTACCCGCAACATATTATGAACTAAATCTGAGTTGAACTAGCAACTTATGTTTTCCTACCTGTAGTTTCTATGCTTCTTGTGTTGTGTCTGTTCATACACATTGCTCTATTTTTACTTCCTCTAAATTTTGCTTTGGTCTTGGTATCAATAATCTATCATGTGTTTATACCTATCTTCTATCTTATTAATTCATTGTTAGAGATAACCCTGGGTACTTTCTTCAGATTGTGTGGTTAATAGATCTTGTGTAAGCACCCACCCGTTCCCAGGAAAACAATCATAGATATTCAACTCTTGATGTGTAGGTACAAGCCCCTAGTAGTGTCTTTGTAGATTTATCTGTAGGAGCTAAAGAGTGAACTTGATTTTCAAATGATTAAACAGGCTTTGGGATATGCGCATGGGGCTCAAGTTGTGCATGCACCTGAACCTGTCCATGGTCGTTTGAGGTATATGAACTGCGTTCTAAGTGTTCTATTTTTGTTGTCTTTTGTTTTTGTTTTTCTTTTTTTTTTTTTGAAAATTTTCTCGGTATTATATTAACTAATGATCATTTGAAACAATAAGTTATTGTCTCATTGAAATATGCATCTATATCTACTTGATAAGATAGTGATTTGATACAGCAACATTACAATTTGAAACCAAGTTATTAATAGCTTATTGGAAACACTTATAGGTTTCAAAGAGAAGGTTTCCTGATCTTCAGAATTCACAGTCAGGAGCTTAACATCTTTACTCCTCATTTTGTGGTTTCTCATGTTAGTGAAGACTTAAATATGATATTTTCTGCTGGGCAGCTGTGGTTCATTTTTGGTCACTCATACTTTTCTCGTTTTCAAAATGTCTTTCTTTCTTACTGTGCAGTGATATTGAGCACAATGGTTGTCAATTGTTCCATGAAATTCCTTCGGGAAGAAATTCAGGATTCAAGGTCTGTTTTATATCAATTTGCTATTCAGGTTTTCTATGTTTTGGTGTTGCGATTAGACACGTAAGCACATTAACAGCACTAGCTGGTTTCTTCACTTCTTTTTCCTCAATTCATTTGTGTGTTTAGATTTTAGAGACTTGAGAACATCATTTAGATGATAAACTGAAAATTATACAGGGTTCATCTGTGTTTTACCGACAACCATATGATTGGTCACCCTCCATATAAGAGAGAGTAAGAGTTTTAGTCAAGGCTTGTTTTGTTGGTTTGCAATTAACATACACGGGGAAGCACAAAAGCATCTTGCATATTCTCATGGTTGTGTCAGACTGGTAGCTATGTGGGATCAACACACATGCCTTACATGCATGAGTGGATGACCATGGTACATTTAAGGAAGGTAGAAACAAGGAGAAGGATGAATCTTAGTTTCCAACTAAAGTAGTTGGATGCACAATGTAAGAATAAGTATCAGAGCAGCAATTTGAGTGTAGTTTCTCAACTTTGAGTGTTAGTTTTGGAAATATAATCATTGTAATGACACTTAAGATTAAAAATGGAAGTGAAAAATAGAAAGCAGGGGATGCTTTTATTGGCATTATTGGATATAGCTTGGGGGGTTAAGTTAAACTTCTACTCGAGTAAAATGGAAGTTCAGTCACTTCATATATCATTCCGATAATATCTACCTGATCTGGGGCTCGTCATTACTACTGGCATTGTCTTTTAGAGTAGAAAATAATCTTGTCATTCTCTTCGTGTATTTGTAGTAGGGGTGGCAAATAGGTTGTTCGGACTGAAGTTGGGCGGGTCAAGATGGGTTGAGTAAATAAATGGGCTTGCCCAACCTTGCCCAGAGTTCATTTGGGTCAAGAGGGCTAAACAATGGGTTGTAACCCAACCCGCCCAATTTTAACCCAGATCTTTACAATATTCTCAACTTTTAAACAAATCAAAATCCAATATTTAAAAATATATTCTCAAATAATCTCCTCTGACTCAAATCATGATATGTTGTGAATTATATTGTGATACCTAAAAACTAGCTCAGTACCCGTCCTTTATTTTATTGATATAAATTTTATTTGTTATTTGCTCTGTTGTGATAATGTATTTCTTCTTTATTTTTAGATTTTTTTTCATGTTTGATGATTATTTTTGTTAACAACAGTCAGTTAAATAAATCATTCGACATCATGTAAGAAAGTACTCATTTTGTTGAAATTAAATAAAATACTTTTTCTACGTCATGAAAAGAAAGTACTCTAAATAATATTTTAATATAGGGTAGGGCTAGGTGTATGGGTAGGGGTGGGGGATGGGTGGGGTAGGGGTGGGGTGGTGGGGGTTGGTTGGGACGGGGAAGGTTGAAAAAGAGTTTTGGTATTTTTTTTGAGAATGGTAACATGTTTTATAAATCAATGCCTGTCCAAAATCATATATTCATATGCACAGAAGAAGAGCAAAATAAAAGACACAAAAAACCTATCCTTGCAATTTACAGAGCTTCCAAAATATCTAGTATAGCTTCAGTATCCACTGAGGTTTCTTCTTTACACCAAAAATGGAACAACAAAAGATAGTTCATCTTGATCTTCTGAATATTATTACCATGCCTTCAAAGCATCTCAAGTTTCCTTCCTTGGGATGGGGAAGGTTTTTCTTTTTGAGAAACTGGAGAATTTTTATTGATAAGACTACGTAACGTCCATTACAAGATCTAGTGGATCATTACCAAAGGATGAAAGGCCATAGATGGCATTTAGGTTACCAAACTTGGCAAGTTTCCTACAGCTACTTTCACAGACTAGTTTATTTATTGAAGAAAAACCCTACTTGTCCTCCAGCATCTTGGACTCAACAAAGGTAGGGGTTACAACATAACAGACTAAACCACATTGCCTTGGTTGCTTGGTTCCTTCCTGAGCTAGCAGGTGAGTAACTTCATTTCCTTCTCTAAAGCTATGCCGGAGCACCACTTCCTTGTCGTTCTGGGAGATCAATGACCTGCATGATTGAAGTAAAAAATCGTAAGAGGTGTTGCCTTCTTTCAAAAGATCGATTACCTGTGTTGAATCCGTTTCTACTTCACAAGGCCATAAATTGTGTTGTGAGATAAAGTCTAGGCCCTTAGACAGTGCCATAATCTCTGCATGAGTACAATTTACAGCTTGAACTCTTTGATGGAATCCCATGATCCATTCTCCTGCGTTATTTCTTATGACTCCTCCTATTCCTGCACGATTCTGGTGAAAAGCTCCATCTATATTTAGCTTAAACCAACCAGCACGGGGTTTGTGCCAATGAGTGTTGCAAATAATATTTTTAGAGGGAGAGCTTTCTCTAGTAGTTAGTAAAGCGAATTCAATCGCTTGTTTGATGACGGAAGAGATTAAGACATGGTTAGAAGAATTGTTTTCGAGGTTATTATTTCTATTTAACCAAAGATTCCAAATTGCATAGGGAAATAATTGGGACCAGGTAAGTATAGAAGAAGGAATAGACGGGTTAGAATTTTTCAATTTGTCTACCCAAAGGTCATCCTCGCAAGTAGGCCAGTTGGTACTAATGTTCAGGGATTGCCAAAATTTTTGTGCAATAATGCAGTGAATAAAAATATGGGGAATGTCTTCTTCTTGTTGACGACATGCAGTGCATATTTTATCTACATTCATTCCTATATGGTGAAGATAGGATCTAGAGGGTAGTCTATTATGGTATCTACATTCATTCCTAATGGGGAAGGTTGACAAAGAGTTTTGGTATTTTTTTTGAGAATGGTAACATGTTTTATAAATCAATGCACAAAAACTGTCCAAAATCATATATTCATATGCACAGAAGAAGAGCAAAATAAAAGAAACAAAAAACCTATCCTTGCAATTTACAGAGCTTCCAAAATATCTAGTATAGCTTCAGTATCCACTGAGGTTTCTTCTTTACACCAAAAATGGAACAACAAAAGATAGTTATCTTGATCTTCTGAATATTATGACCATGCCTTCAAAGCATCTCAAGTTTCCTTCCTTCCAAATTGTCCACCAAATGCATGGAGGAATCATCTTCCATCTGCTCTTCTGCCTGGGTAGGCCTCCTCCTTGTCAACCTGTTATTGTTCTTTTTTGAGATGAATCTAGTTGTGTTGAAATCCCCACAAACTATCCAGGGACCACCAAACAAACCTCTAGAAGCTCCTACTTCCTCCCATAACCCCTTTCTTCCTCTTCTAGTAGTATCTGGACCATACACCCCGTCAAGTGCCAGGTGAAATCCTGTCCTTGAGCCTCAACCTCAAAATGACAAGTTAAAGAATGAAGCCCAATATTTAAAACCTCTCCCTTCCAGATTCTCCTATCCCACATCATTATTATACCCCCTCTTGTGCCACTAGCCTCCAGGCAGCCAAAACTAACACCTCTGTTTGGCCAGAGTTGTTTCACTATCTCTACTATATCACCTTACCTTTGTTTCTTGAAAGCAAAACACATCTGCTTTCCACTTCTGAACCATACTATTCACCTTTCTCCCTTTTTCCTCCCTATTTAATCCCCTCACATTCCATGAAATAATTTATAGGGGAAAAAACATAACTAGGCAATATTTAAGAAATTATTTCAGAATCCTAGCAGGAATTAGTAATTAACAAATTTGGTGTTAATTAGTTACAATCCTAACCCAAACCTATAGCGCTTGACCAAAAATCACATTTCGACATTTGTGAACAGTTCCAATCAAACAAATGATTCTTTATTTGACCGAAAATGAGGCCTATTAATTATCGAAAATTAGTCCTATTAATATTTATTCCTACCAAAATTTTTGATCAGATTATACAATCCATTAATTACCTTCCATACATATCTCTCTTCTACATTAATGTCACAACCAAAACATGCAAGAATCCTCCAAAGAAAATTAGCACTTTAATTTTCTAGTTGTTAATTTTCGTATATAGTAAGAAAAATATAATTAGATTAAATGAAACATTATAATTATTTTGTGGATCTGTAAACTTAAAGTTGTTTTCATAATACATGTATTTGCTTCAATATTCTAGTAATATATATATAAACATATATATCTTGTTACTGTGTATACATAATATACATCAAATACAAACAATATATCACATATACGGAGTATATATTTAATTTGTCAAATATACTTAAACTTTATATAGATCACATCAAGTATATGTAATTTATACATTAAATATATATAATACATATATCAAATCTGTATATTTGTTTATACGTCATATATACAAAAATATACGTTGAATAACTATAAAATGTGTTTGGTATAGTCAAATATAGATAATATATTCATCACTACATATTTAAAATTACCTTGTAAAAAATATATCACATATGTATATATACACCTACAAACATGGAATAAAAATGTTGATTGATTTAGACTGTGTTTGATATAATAATGGAAAATAGAAATTTTAAGAGGAACCTGTTAAGGGGGAACTTTTATAGAAAAATGGTAAGTTTAGATTAGTGATGAGAGAGAAATATGGATAAATTAATATGGTTCAAAATTAATTCCTTAAATTGTGGATTATGTTTTAAAATTTAAAGACCACTAAACGTACATGACCTTCAAAAAATGCTGTAATTGTAAATGAATGTGCTCTTTTTGGAATAAAGCAAAAGTAATGTTTTTTATATAAATATTATTTAATAAGTAACTGACAATGTAAAAAACTCTAATTTATACTTTCATGGATGATCCTCAATTGTCGCTCTCCCCGTTTCTACACCTTGGCCCATTCCCCTTGAATTTCATATTAAAAACCAGCCCCTTTACCTCATGAATGCCTTTGAATTTTGTGTCGTAGCAATAGCCTTCCCTGCTCCTGTTTTGCTCTGTTTTCTTCTGCTATCAATTTTCATAAAGAGTGCTAGAGCTTCCTTCTCACACCCTAAAAAATCCATCCCAAATTGATCTGATGATATTACTGTGTACCCATAAAGTTGGGTTAATTTGGGCTAGCCCAAACCAGCCCATCTTCAAAATCGTTCTAGCCCAAACCCATTCAAACTTGGGCGGGTCAAATGGGTTTGGGTTAGTTTTGCCACCCCTAATTTGTAGAAGGGGATGGAGGTGTATAAAGCATATTATTCTTGTCCTAATAATCATAAAATATAAACTCTTTTTGCTTTAAATGTTTTTGAAATAGAAGTGGTAGGCTTCCTGAGGTGGTGACTTGTGTTAGTCAGTGCTTTTTTAAAGCAAAAAGTACAAGAAATGACAAGACTCTTGGGGCTTTAGGTGAAAAGCGAGGTGATGAAGCACCTGCTTCTTTGATGTAAAGCACACAATATACAGAAAATACAGAAATTGTCTAGCAAGTGGGATTATAGTATGTATTATTAGCAAGTACATTTCTAATTTCGATATCCAATATAACATAAACAATATTAATCAACAACTCAAATTAAATATCATTTTAAGGTCAACAAGCTCACAACAAGATAACGTCAATCACTACTATGATCTTCAATTTCAACCAATTGGTTAACTGCTTTATAAACAATATTGAAATTAGCTGTAATTTTAAAGAGATACTATTTATTGTCCTGTATTTAGGCTATAATTAAAGAATCGGAGAATAATTAGAGAACAAACAAGAAAAGGAGAAAAATTTATCGTTGACATCAAGAAAGGGTAGGATAGAGCAGAAGAAAGCCTAAAACAGAAGTAGTAGAAGTAAAAGACGCAGACGGAAGAAGAAAAAGAAGAACAAGTTATCTTGAAGATGAAATCATTAAGAATGAAGCAAGTCAAAAGAAGTATAAGAAGAGTTGTTGCAAACTGTAGAAGGAAAAAAAAATTAAGAGAAAACTGAAACATACATCAGCAGGAATCCTAGTACTAAAATTGCAAAAGACAATATTTTATCTCTTTTGGAGTTTTAACCTTTTAAAGTCTAAATTCAAAGAAGCGATTGGTTCTAACTTGGATGGCTGGCTTTGTGTGTTCCTTTGAAGCAAGAACTCTCACTTCGCATTGCTTCATCGCTTTAAGAGACAGACTGATCACTTCTAAATAAGTGATAGTACTTGTGTAATTTTGTGCTACCTGAAGCTTTACATCGATCTTTAAATATAGAACAATTTAAATTTTTCTGTGGTTTAGATAACAAAGAGAAGATGGCAATCATAGAAGTAACTTTATCTTGGTTGAACTTTCTTGACACATTTCAGGTGGTTCGGTACCATTCCCTTGTAATAGACCCAAAGTCACTCCCAAAGGAACTCATTCCCATAGCTTGGACCTCTACCACTGAGACACTCCCTTTCCATGGTGTTGGACAATCCGATTCATTCTTTCATGCATCCAAAGAAGCAGAAGATATTTTCCATGGGATGTCGGAGTTATCAAGTGAATCAAAGGAGGTGCAGGGTGGAAAAGTCCTTATGGGTGTCATGCATTCTAGTAGGCCTCACTATGGATTGCAGGTGAGTTTGGTCATTCACTTTGCATGAGAATCTGCTCCTCTTTTACTAGTATGTAACATGGATTTGCCTTTGCTATCAGTTCCACCCGGAGAGTGTTGCAACGTATCATGGAAGACAGCTTTTCAAAAATTTCCGGAAAATCACAGAGGACTATTGGCTCAGGTTAACGTCAGCCTCCATCAATGAGAGAAGGGTTCATTATGCTGGTAACTGCACTATAAAATAGAGATAGTTCGATTGAGCTACTTATTTAGTCTCCTATACTCTTTGAGTCCTTTCCATGGGATTGGATTATTTGTTTATGAAAGAATTACAAGAAAATACACATGACTTTACACCATAACAAAAAATGGCCCATGTTTTTAAGTTTTACCCGACCTAGCCCATATTGTACATATTTTGAAAGCACTAGCAAATTCAAAATCTGTGTTCTTACAACCATTGCTTCTAAAAGCTATGGAGTTAAATCTATGTTCTCATAACCATTGCTTTCAATCTCTCTTCTTCTCACATCTTCTACATATGCTTCAAGGGGCCTTGTATTTTCTGCTTCTCCCCTTGTGTCACCTGGTTGCAATGTAAGAAAATGGAAGAGTAGAAGTCCACCATTGACGGTCATTCAAAGATTTGCTTTCGAAAATAGGATTTTTTGAGTGTGTTAGTTGTTTGGATTGGGTGTTGTTCCAATTGATTGAAAATATCAAAAGGATTCAAAATTTAAATTTGAAGTACATTTGAGTAAGATTTGAGTTAAATTTCAGAAAAGATGCAAGGAAGAAAACGAAGTCAATTTTTTGTATAATTATGTATAATCTTGTATAATAGTATATATGCGTGTATAAACACTTCTTATACGCTATTATACACTTTTATACACCTTTATACAAGCGCCTGTAGACGAACTTCTTTCACAATTTTCTTATACAATTCTTGTTCAAAACCAGTCCAAATCTCCATTAAATGACTTCAAATTTTATATACAACCTCTTTATACTGTTTTTAACAAGTCTAAATAACACCCACTCCAAATTTCTCACAAAACCAAATTCGGAATATAAACCCACATATTTAAGTTTGTTAAAAATCTAATTTTTACCACCCAATTGGATTTGGTTTGTTGAACTAATATTTGAGTTACAGTTACTGATTCGAAAATTAACTTAAAAGCTTGAGCAATCTTTTTTAAAAATTAAATAGTAATTTCGAGAACCTATTGGAGTTGAATGTTGAGTATAGCCTATTATTTTGGGCTAGTTGGTTGTAAATTGAAATATGGGCTATAAAATTGAAAAGTAGGGAGCACAGTTGTTCTTATGTGAAATTTTCCCTTTGTTTATTATAGAACTTTACAAATGGTTGTGTCAAAAAGGTGTCTGAATTTCCTATCATTTCTCGGGTTCATTAAATGTACTTACAAGTAATTAATTTTGATTGGTTGTCTTGTATGCATCTCATATGCTATTTTACCAAGCATGTAATTCCTAAAACCAGCAGCTAAGTGCTTTCAGTTTTTCCTGCTCTGTGTCAGTAGAGTGTTCCCACATTTACTCTGAGCGGTAAATTTTACTTAGCATGCATGCAGGTTCCTATTGTAAGCCCGCTGTCCCAAGGTGCTGCACGAAATGGGCATCTGGTGAATAAATCGGTTGAGCGGAGAACTGTCAAAATGGATGAAATCTTAAATCTATCACATCCGAAGTACAGTGTAAAATTTTTGAAGATGACATGGAAAAAACTAGATTGCTCTGTCAGCCAAGTTGGTGGAGCGGAAAATATTTTCTGTGAACTATTTGGAGATCAAAAGGCTAAAAACAGTTTCTGGCTGGATAGTTCTTCAATAGAAAAGGTCCTTTCTTCTCCAGCTTGTTGTAGTTTCAGCACCTTCCATGATTCTTTTTTTGGTTGTCACTGGATTTTGGAGCATGTTTCAAATTGCATTGCATCTGTCATATCTTTTGTTCATATCGTTAAAGTTTCTTCTTTATTGCTCTCTCAAGCCCCCCACACCCCAAAAAAAAAAATCTATTGCCACTTTTGTGTCAGTTTAAATTTTAAAAGCAAGAAAATCAGATTCAATAGTTTCTTAGGGTAGTTTTTATTGAGTGGTTTATCAAATGAAATGTAGAGGGTAGGTTAAAAGAATTTTTCAAGATTCTTGTGAATTCTAATTTTCATCTGTTGAAAGGTTCTTTTTCTCTTCCTTCCCCCCCTCCCCCCCTTCTAACCATGATTCAGTTTATTCAGGGAAGGGCTAGATTTTCCTTTATGGGGGGAAAAGGAGGTTCACTCTGGAAGCAACTTACGTTTAGATTGTCAAATCGCAGGTGAAAATCTCTTCAAATATTTCCTGAGTGCCTTACTTTAGATCTTTCCATTTCTCAACTGATCTCTGCTTGAATGCTACATCATTTTTCAGTAACACGTTGCTTTATATTTTCAGTGACATAATGTGTAAAGGAGGTGATCTATCAGTTGAAGATGCTTATGGCCATGTTAAAACTACATTTTTGGAAGATGGATTTTTTGATTATATAAATAAGGTAGTTTCTGACGATTTCTTTCAATTTGTGCCACTGAAATTGAAAATCACCACCTCAGTCAATGTCACAGTCCTCAGTAAATTGGGGCAGGACAAGCAGATGAAATGCTATGGTGGGATATTCCCATTAACAAGTTGACCGGGGGCAATAAAATAACATGTTTTCCAATATCTTCGGCTTCTTAGAAAATCTGTTCATCTGATGTCCTATTTAATTTTTTGTATGCAATGGCTGTTTTCTTTGTGTTTATACTTATGGTTCATTTTTATGTAAGTATAATTTCGGGCTCCTTTTTGTTTTGTGTTCAGGAGAGGCTCCCCCCCTCTTTCATTAAGGATGTTGTGTTCCTTCCAAGAATTATCTAGATTGATGAATTTTGTTTGGAAGAATATTTTTGAGTATTATTTCGCACATGAGTATTCTAATTAGGTCCTATATCTTTGCACCAGGAGCTCCTATCATTTTGTTTCGATGAGATGGATTATGAAGGATTACCATTTGATTTCTATGGTGGCTACATTGGTTATATCGGGTATGTCGTGATTTTATGTCAAATAATCTGAATCCTCCTCCTACTCAATTCTGTTAAGTACTTCTAAATGTTTCAAAGATTTACTTTGTATGTTTGGAAGTTCTCTTTCCTTTTTTTTTTTTGGCTCGAATCATTCACTGCTGCATGTAGGGGGTAAAAGAAGTTGCATAAATTGGACGGGTGCATGAGAAATGTCATCTGCTCATGTAGATATGGCTATGTCTGGTTTTCTGTCGTTTTCTGTCATTGTTAAGTTTTATGACAAATTAAGTCAAGCATAGCAGAAAGCTTCACATTCTTATCATCTGTGGTGGTTCTATGCTAGGTAGGACTCAAATATAGTTGATCTCTAGGTGGTTGGGTTGTTAAACTTAGTTCATTTTTGCATGTGCGTTTGGAGGAAGAATTTTTTCTCATGACTTGATCTTCTTGTGGTTTTCTCGAGACAGGTACGATCTCAAAGTTGAATGTGGCATGGCATCTAATCGTCATAGATCGAAGGCACCAGATGCTTGTTTATTCTTTACGGATAATATTATTGTCATCGATCATCAGTGTGACGACATATATACTTTGTCACTACACAATGTGAGCACAACTAGTACTTCTTACTTGGATGATGTGGAGAAGAGGCTACTCGACTTGAGAGCTTCTATGACCAAAAGGTTGCAATCACGGGCATCTCGAGGATCGGCAGTGGTCCAACTAAAATCAGGTTTTTCTGCTGAGAAATCAAGAGAGGAGTACATCAAAGACGTTAAGAGTTGTCAAGATTTCATAAAAGAAGGAGAAAGTTACGAGTTGTGTCTTACAACCCAGATGAGAATGAAATTGGGGGAAATAGATTCTCTGGGACTTTATCTTAATCTCAGAGAAAGAAATCCCGCACCATATGCTGCCTGGCTTAATTTTTCAAGGGAAGACCTAAGCATATGTTGTTCTTCTCCTGAAAGGTTCCTACGATTGGATAGGAATGCAATTCTGGAAGCAAAACCCATAAAAGGGACTACAGCTCGTGGTTCCACCCCTAAAGAAGATGAATTTCTGAAACTGCAATTAGAATACAGGTACAGAAATCGAAGGGTCATAATAGTAGCATCTAAACTCAAATTCGCGGTGACACTTATTTTCCTCAGGAAGCTTTCTGACTATCGACTTGTGTTACCTTTTATCTTATATAGTATGTTTCCTGTCATGTCAAAACTTCATTTCTCCCAGACGTTCTAGTCTTTTATGCTGTTGTTAGTTCTTCTCAACTCTGGCACTTATATACATGCTTTTTAGCCTCTAATACTGGTTGGGTCATCCCGTCAGTCACCTTTACTTTGTCTGCTTAAGTTGTTTAGTTCTTTATTTAACTTCTATATTCAGTTTTGAAATAGTATTTCTGACCATCTGGTGGCTGTATGATTGTGTCATAAGCTGTCTTGGAACAGAACTCATGCTTACTAATCCGACCAAGTTCTGTATGCTTTGTCACAGTGAAAAGGATCAGGCGGAAAATCTGATGATTGTTGACCTGTTGAGGAATGACCTCGGGCGTGTGTGTGAGCCTGGCTCTGTTCATGTCCCACATCTCATGGAAATAGAATCCTATGCAACAGTTCACACCATGGTCAGTACGATTCGGGGGAAAAAGCGATCAGACGTAAGTGCAATTGATTGTGTTAGAGCTGCATTTCCTGGTGGGTCAATGACAGGTGCACCAAAGTTGAGATCGATGGAACTTCTTGATCATCTTGAAAATTGTTCTAGGGGCATCTACTCGGGCTGCATTGGATTTTTCTCTTATAACCAAGCATTTGATCTCAACATTGTGATAAGGACTATTGTCATACACGAAGGAGAAGCTTCAGTAGGAGCAGGGGGAGCCATTACAGCTCTTTCAGACCCCGATGATGAGTATGAAGAAATGATTTTGAAAAGTCAAGCACCCACTAAGGCTGTTCTTGAACATCAGAGCAGCATCATCTTCTCAGACACATAAGTGACATGACCACTTGAAAAACCCAGTGAAGAATAGGGGTATAGGGGAGCAAATGCAGCTTCTTGTAGTTAAAAGGGGGAGAGGAAACTGTGGATGAGTAGCAGGTAGCCTATGATTCATACAAATATTCGTCAGCGCAGCCTATTCATTCTTTTGATCGCGGTTATTGGAAAGTATAGCCATTATAACATACAAATCTACACTGATCTGCAGCGACTAAAATACTGTACATAGGATTCTGAAGGACCTGCAGGAATTTACAGAAATGTTTGTAAACCTGTAATAATACTGAATCGATAGTTCACATGTTTGATTCTTTATTGTAAAATCGTCGAACAATTATTTTATTTGGCTGACTTTTCCCACTTGCACAACTTTATGACTGCTCAATATGCTTGTGATATTAATGTTTGTAAGGTGCTCATCGGGCGGATCGGGCGGATAATTACACTTAACGGTTCGGCTTATCGGTTATCGGATTATAAATATAGTAATCCGCTAGCCATCCAATAAGACAATGGGCAGATTGGTATCGGATTAATAATTATCGGACGGTTAATGGACGGTTTATGGGCTAGACCAAATAGAATATATCAAAAACATATTGTAGAGAAACTATTAGCCAATCAAAAATCACAAAGGTGGCAGCTAAAATGAGATCTTGTAGTTACAGTGGAGGAACGAAACGACGACTCAGTGGTATAGCCCTGGAGGTCCAAAGTTGGTTATTTTGAATGAACCGGTAGCTAGTGGTAATTAGAGTTATTACTTTTATGCTAAAAATAATTTCTGTTCAACATTTTCTTTTCCTGATACCTTTATAGACTACTGCTATGGATACGAGAACATGATGCGAAAAAAGGGCGTGCCATTATCTTGACAGTCCATTCAATGAAAGAAGCTGATATCTTAAGCGACTGCATAGCGGTGATTAACGGGTTAACGGTTTATCCGATAAAAAAATTGAGTAATCCGTCCCCAAACCGTTAAGCCATTAATTATAAAATCTCAATCCGTTCACTATCCATTACCCCGACAATCCGATACCAATAAGCCAATAAGCCATCGGTTTGGTTCGGTTAATGGTTGCGGTTCGGTTTTGAACAGTCCTAGTTTGTATATGAGGAATGGGAAATCTTTCCACGTAGATGTGATGCTATTTTGGATCTTGATCATTCATTTTGTTGTGCGTAGCGGTCAAGAACTGACCTGAGCCAGAAGGAGGATCTGATTGGACATCTGCAGTCATCTATTAGAAATTGTGCAATAAAAGATATAGTTGTGAGAATGAAATCATATATTCTTTCATTTTGTAATAGATGTGATAATAATGCATACGTATTATGGTTGGTCATCCATTGATTTGTGTTGAACTTCACCTATATGAGCTTCACCTTGTTGGTTATAAGATGGAGAACGAGATGAGTTGTGGTATGTTAATATATAGCGTTAAACTCAGCTTATTCTGAATCCTCATAATAATGAATATCAACTTCACCTAGTTTTGGATTGATACATTATCGTCTTTCAATTGTGTTGCATGCACTTATTCCTACTCTACTTTACTCAAGAATTGTAGAACTACCGATTTTTTTGATCTATTTTTCTTATTGTTATAGTAGGAAATGAGGAAGGGAAAAAAGACCCAGAATACTAGATGAATCATAAAACAAAAGGGTCTGCATCCAAAAAGAAAGATTCCGAGCACGTCATGTGTAGTAAAAGCCTATCGTCTTTTTTTTTTCAAAAACCTTTTTTTAACCCCTCCCCAGGAGCTCCTTCCACTTTTGCTCCTTGATGTCTCGAACTCACAATCTCAAGGTTGCTTATCACTTGAGTAACTTCTTGTCATTATCTTGTCTTTACAATAAAACAGCTATTTCTTTTTGAGTTTCGCACATATTATATAGCTCATTGCTCAATGGTGAACAAGTACACTAGCAAGAACCATATCGAAGGAATTTTGCTAAATGACCCGTAACTTTGGAAGGGTGCTCCAACGAAAGGATTGTATGGCTCATCCCACTGGTGGTTCAATAGTCCCTCACTTGTAGCTTGTAAATGATGCAAGAAAACTATTATTTTCCTTCTTGCGTTGGAATGTATGTGCTATTTATTTCTTTTAGAGTTAGAATGATACTAGCTAACCATTTTTAGGGCCGTTAATTGAAATTGCTACTGATATAAAGTAATTGAAAAATAATCATATTACAAAAATGCAGCATATATAGTTGAAAAATAGCCACACGAACTTTAGAAAATTTCTTGAAATTCGAATTATTGAAAGTAAAACTCCAGGATAGTGTCTTAGATTTCATAGTTATACAGAACAAGTGATGGAGATATGGTTAAGGAAGGGGGTTCAATTGTGTAATGGTCCAATTCAATTTTGAGCTCAGCGGGATTCGATACCTAGAACCAAAAATAGATGAAGAAAATAAAAATAAAGATTACACAGGGAGGGCTAGGATACAATAAAAGTAAATGAATATCGACGGTGGAAATTCAAAGTTGGATTAATATGTATCCAACTGAATGAAGAGAGAAGGCATAACAGAATCTGGTACCTTCTCTTCGTCACCCCTTTCTCACTCTCTGTTAGACTGAATAGCAATCAGCATGGCGGAAAAGAAATGAAAGAAACCCTATACAGGGTGAGAGAAGAGAGAAAGTAAGTCGGTCAAAATAACAAAGACCTGACTCAGATATTTTTATTTTCTTGTCTATCTCATTTACACATGTGTACTTATATTTACAGTAACATAAGTGTAAAGAATAAAACCAAATGAAATAAAAATATAAATGGGCCGGGTATCTGCTTATTGTTGCTGGGCTGGGCCCTTTCCTTTTGTTGAAACAGCTGAGCCCATATCGGTGCTAACACCCCCCCCCCCCCCAAGCTGGAGGGTGGAAGCACACCAAGCTTGCCAAGAATGCTGTGACGAAGCTGCCCAGATAGAGCCTTGGTCATAATATCAGCTAGCTGGTTGGAACTAGACACAAAATGCAAAGAGATAAGCCGAGAATTCAAACACTCACGAAAATAATGGCAATCAATCTCAATATTCTTCATACGTTCATGGAAAACTGGATTTTTGAAAATGTAAACGGCAGCCTGACTATCACAATGGACCGGGACAGGAGAACAAATATGAAGACCGAGATACCCAAGGAGTCTGACCAGCCATGAAAGCTCAGCAGCAACTTTCCTGAGGGCTCTGTATTCAGCCTCAACTGAAGACAGGGAAATAGTGGGATGTTTCTTGCTTTTCCAAGATATGGGGCTACCACCAAGTGTCATATAAAACCCAGTAACCGACTTGCGAAAGACAGCACACGAGACCCAATCAGAGTCAGAATACGCCACAAGAGACAAGTCAGAAGAATTTGAGAGAAGCACACCCTAAGAAGAAGCAACCAACAAGTATCTGAGAACATGCAGCCCAGCCATCATGTGAGGAACATGAGGCTTTTGAAGGAATTGGCTCAAATGTTGAACAGAAAAGGAGATATCTGGTCTAGTGTGCTGCAGGAAATTAAGCTTGCCAATTAGTCTTTTGTGCAGACTAGGATCAGGGAGTGGATCACCCATATCCATAGTCAGCTTCACAGAAGGATCCAAAGGAGTCACAACAGAAAAAAAGTGATGGCAGTTGAATTCAGCAAGAAGGCCAGTAGTGTATTTATGCTGAGTCATGACATAGCCCTGAGAATTCTTTGTGATCTCCAGACCTAAGAAATAGTGAACTGGACCCAAATCCTTTATCTTGAACTGATCATCCAACAAAAACTTCAGAGATTGCATTTCATGGAGATCATCTCCAGCCAATAAGATATCATCAACATAGACAGCCAATACCACTAAAAAACTAGAGGAAGACTTGGTGAATAGAGAGTAATCATTAAGACTAGAAATGTAGCCCCTAGAGAGCAAAGCTTCAGACGGTTTGGAAAACCACTTTCTCCAAGCCTGCCTAAGGCCATAAAGAGATTTCTTGAGCTTGCAGACTAGAGGAGAAGAAGAAGAAGCAGAGCATGCATCAAGACCAGGAGGGATTTTCATATGGACCTCCTCATGAAGATCATCATGTAAAAAGGCAATATTGACATCCAGTTGGTACACAATCCAACTTCTCTTGATGGCAAGAGTGAGAAGACATTTGATGGTGGTGAGTTTGATAACAGGAGAGAAGGTTTCAGTGAAATCTATGCCTTCCCTCTGAGTATCCCCTCTAATAACCAACCTAGCCTTGTACCTTTCAATAGAGCCATTTGCCCTTTGCTTAATCTTATAAACCCATTTGCGGGGAATAGCCTTTTTATGTTGAGGAAGAGGGACAATGTCCCAAGTCTGATAAGCCTCAGAGCATGGAATTCCTTTAGCATGGCCTCTTGCCAAGCAGGGTTACCTGCAGTCTGCTGGTAGAACTGAGGTTCACTAGAGGAAAGGGTAGTTTGAGGAGAAGCAGGGTTGGAAATGACAGATGAACAAACATAATCCTTAAGGTAAGAAGGCTGAATGACAGTTCTAGATGATTTTCTTAAGGGAGGAGGATCAGAAACAGTGGAGGCGGAAATAGAGGAAGAAGGAAGAACAGAGGAAACATGAGGAGGTGAAGAGGGAGGAAGAGGAGGAGAACTGGGGAGAGGATCAGGATGGATAGGAGAGTGAGGAACCATAGGAGGAGGAGCTGGTATATCCACAAAGATGGGGAGTAACTCAGGGAAATGAGAAGAATTAGAAGAAGAATAAGGAAAAGTATGTTCATGAAAGACCACATCTCTAGAGTGAAAAATTGAAGAGCTAGATAGATTAAGTAATTTGTAACCTTTCTTGCCACATGGATAGCCTAAGAATACACATGCAATAGCTCTAGATTGAAAATTATCCCTGCCTACTTTAGGAGAAGTGGCAAAGCATAGACAACCAAATGACCTTAAATGGTCATAGGAGGGAGGATGCCCATGAAGTTTTTCAAAAGGAGAGAGTTTAAGGAGGAAAGGTGAAGGCTCCTGTTGATAAGATAAGTAGCAGTGACGACACATTCTCCCCAAAATTTTAGTGGTAGTTTGGATTGGAACAGTAGGGCTCTTGAGACTTCTAAGAGGTGTTTGTGTTTCCTTTCCACAATACCATTTTGTTGTGGAGTGTAGGAAATGAAAGTTTGATATAAAATACCCTGGGAAGCAAAGAAACTAATGGCTTCAGAACTACTCCCAAGTTCAAAAGCATTATCTGATCTAAAAGTGTGTATGGAGGAATTGAAATGAACTTTTACCATAGAAGTGAAAGCTTTAAGAATTGACAAGGCATTACCCTTGGAAGAAAGAAGATGAGTCCAAGTGACTCTAGTGAAATCATCAACTAAGGTGA